TTTGCTCCTAGTGTCAATTCAAAAATTTCTCCGGTTAAAATATATTAAGGAATGATGTGTAATGGTTGGAAGTGTAAAATCGTATTATTTTTTAAAATTATTTATAAATTAATTCGAAACATATATATGCCTCTTTTATTTTTTTGCAAAGTTAGGGAAAGTTAGGCTCGATTATACATGCGTTTAAAAACATCAGTGTAATCACACATACGCTTCGTATATAATTACTCAAGCTGAAACCATGTCCCCAAATTTCCGTACGGTTGCAAAATAACTTCTTAGTATTTACGTTAACGCTGTCGCGTAATCGCGCATAACCCTTTGCAAAAAGTTGGACCGCATCGTAAGCGAGCGCCGCTTCCACTTTTAAGTGAGAAGCATTCGTTAAATTCCAATTAAGGGACCGAAATTGGAGAGTACGTTGAACAATTGAACTTTCCGGATTGATTAAACGAACGCCCGTTATATTCACTCCGGAATATTGGTATGGTTCTAAATCCAGAATCTGCAAATCCTGATAATAAATAATGAAATATATAATACACATATTCTCTTTTGAATCAGATAAAATTTAGGAGATTGCTATTATACAATTAAAAGTATTTTGTATTTTAAATCTAGAAATGATGTATTTTTATATGAATTTGTATTTACAATATAATCTTTCTAAGTTATTCTTTCTCTCTTATCAAAAAAGTGATGAAATAACTTACCAAAGAAGTAACGATCACATTATATTTTTCTGATAGTATCCCGACTTGCAGTGCTTGGTCGAGAACGGACGCAAGAATGTCATACGAACAATCGATTATGATATTTCTGTAATCGGATATTTTTACTTCTTTTATGGCTTGCCTGCTGGTAAATTATCCTGTTAATTTTCGAATAGCGCTTGTATCTCTTCGAAAAAATCTTGGCAATGGCGACACGTGTGACTGCGCGAGCGACGTTCGCATCATATTCAAACAGCCGTATCGTAAATCATCGCAATATTTTCTGGCGTTTACGGTGGAGCTAATGGCACAGGTGCAGAATAACTTTGTTTGACAAACGTCGCTTGTGCATGCACGCAAGCTTGTTCCAGGGACGACCTATTTATATGGTCTGTACATGCGTACCTAAAATTTGGTCCACTTCCCAAATGGCACGCCATGGTGGAAATGCTATTCAATTTTAGCAGACGACTCATGCGAATTAGGCCATCCGTGTTGTCATAAAGTATTGCATATTCTTTCCATTTGTATTCTTTTATTAGATCCTGAAAAACCTAAATTATATATGTCAGAAATTAATTTTAATACAAATGTTATCCGCGATTTTAATCATTAAAATATATTAAATATCGAAGATTTCAATTTGATTCTTGTTTTTGATTTTGGTTAAATCGTCTTTGTATTAGCAACTACTAAGTGTTATATCTTGAACGCAATAATAAAATGCTTGCAAACAAAAAAATACAAGAACAAAATACAATTAAATTGAAATATTTATTTGAACATTTTGTTTTTAGGACAATGCATAAGAATTTTTTTTGTAAAAGATACCGTTTTTTTCTATTTAAATTTAAATGCTTTTTACACTTTAATTTTACGTTTTGGTGAAAAATCAAAACTAAGTTGACTGGAATGTGCGACTCAAGTTATTTATAAGTGATCAGAGATAAACAAGTACCATGGAAAGCATGTCAGGATGTGGATACAAATTTATCACATTGCTACGTTTTGACTCGGAATCCCATCTGGCGGTAATATAAGGTATGTCCAAGGTATCGCACATACTTTGAACGTAATTCGCTGTCTGTTTATTCTGGGGACCAAATATTCCAGCTATTCCGCTGTTTACCAATTTGCACGCTGCACGCAGTGTCCATAAAAATGCATAATATAATTTCGCAAGATATTTTATGTGAAAATTTATTTTTAATTATACGTATAACGCATATAGTTTTACAAAAACTGTAGGAAGTATATATGTTGCGATATGCGATATTAATCATGCTAATTAAGTTGTATATAGGCTATATATAGACTATATAAGTATATGACAAAACTTATATAGATAAAACAATATATATGTATGTATATAGGTGAAATTTTATATTAATTTAAATACACAAAAAATAATAATATACCTATCTTTGCTACGTGGAAGGCATTCTTGTTGATTCCTTCGGTTTTGGGTGTTAATAATACACCCATAGCATCTTCGGAGACAGTGATATTTTTATTCACTGCTTTGATTGATATCTTAAACGCTCTTTGAATCATTTCATCACTATCGAATATACCTCCTGCGATTATTCAATTTTCGTCGATATATTGGATCAATTTATAGATATTTTTTATTTCTGTCACTTATGGTTACTTATGGAAAATACACGATGGGCTTACCAATAGGAATTCTTCTTGGAAATCCCAAAATATGGGATATAAATGCAGCAGTAATGTACAGAAGCAACATTTCTCGACCATTCTAAAAGAGAATCATTCTAACAGCAACTGCAATAGATGCAATAAATGGTACAACGTACCATTCGCATTAAACAGTTTTTTATTTTTCTAAAAGTAAACAATCATGTGTAATTTAAATTAATGTCAATTAAAATTAGGTTTGCTTTTGTTTATTATTATTGGCACTCCATTGCACTGCTAATTTATATGACCTAATATGCAACACATTGATATATATATATAGTCATGGTATATTTAGACACTTCTCGCCTCCTTGCGTGCCCCAATATACTCTATAATAGCTTCTCTCAATTTATCTGTTGAAAACAACTGTCGAATGGTTCACTGACAGTCTCTGAGAGTTGTGCAGTAGTGCATAGATTCATCTTTTAATAGAGATTTCATGACTTTTCAAATATAATTGGTTTGGATGTTTTAATGTAATGTGCGACATGCATTTTTTATTTAAATAATTCAAATAATACAAACATGTGAGTATTTTAACATTTTCAGCTTCCGCTTTAGAAACTTTGTCAATTTTGTTTTTATTTCAAAGTTTTTAATTGTTCCATTATAGAAACAGAGATGTAATTAACATGATAATCCCATCTTTCAAATTTTTATTATTTACATAATTATAAAGCAGAAAAACACTTCAATAATTAATAATCATGCATATTATTTAGAAATACAAAAGTTTTTAGATATTATAACGTATTTATAAGAATCATGTGTTGATGATTTCCTATTTTTAATTATTATATAGTGCCGTAAAAACGAAAATATGCTTTTATAACATTTATTAGCTGCAAAGTTTCATCAAAATCAATCCTTCTTCTTGTTTCTTTGGATTTGTTTTTTTCAATACACATTTCCTGTATCGTATTAATATATAGGGTGTATCTGAAATGATGCACTAAACTTTAGGAGCGTATTCTAGAGGTCAAAATAAGACTTTTTTTTTCTTATGAACATTGGTCCGCAAATGAACCCCCCTCCGAGCTAAAATTCGAAAATGTGTGAAATATGTTTTTATTTTTTTATTTTAGTGGCTTACTTTACTTCATAATTTACTGGGCTATACCAAATTTCAATCTTCTGCCAATTTTTTTTTCTGAAATATAGTCAATTTTTAATTTTTTCCCCAAACTTTAGGGGCCTCTAGCTCGGAGGAGGGTTCATTTGCGTACCCATGTTCATAGGAAAAAATGTCTTATTTTGACCTCTAGAATATGCTCCTAAAGTTTAGTGCATCATTTCAGATACATCCTGTATAGCTTGAAAAGACCTTATACTACATCTGCGTGGCCGATTGCCAAAAACACAAAAGCAAAACGCGGGCGCCAAAATTGCATTGCGAGAAGTGCATTAAACCTTTCCTTCAACATAAGAAAACAAACCATTTTTATAGTATAAAGTAATGTTGACGTTAGAAAGATCCACGCGACAGCTTTGCGCGATCTACCACATTTTCGATCCACGTTTAAACAAGAATATTATATATAATATTATATATTATTATATATTTATGATAGGAATCAATTTTTCAGGTTAATTGATGATACAAGATCACTCCCGCAATTCATTGAGTTTATCGCAAATTATTAGGATCACTTGGTATAAACGATCGGAACGAGGGAAACCGGGTTTCTTAATAAATTTTTATAAATCTAAAAGAGACACTTTGTGTCGCCGAACTCGTATATATACTACGGATCATCCGACACTATGGAAGCCAGTGGCTATACTATCCCATAACCATCGGTTGACTATTTTGACTACTGCAAGCTGCAAAAGTAGGTGACTGGACCGTATTTTCTCGTCTACTGTTTTGCGCATGATCATCGCGGCTTATTTCAATTAGGGGCGCGTTCCACTTAATGACCGCAACGCTCGCGAGCATCATCTGTCTTTGTTTAACTTTCGGTGAAGAACAAAGATGAAATGATACCGTGAGCGTTGCAGTCGTGAAGTGGAACGCGCCCTAGGGGAATTATCGCTTATCGTTGATAACACCGCGCTTCGTAACGATTTTGTGAATTTGTAATCGTAGTAGAGATGATCATGTGCGAGTGATAATTTTTTTAGAATCGCTATAATATCTTCTAGAATTGTTAGTCTAGATTTGAAAAATCTATGCAATTGTCATTTAAAATATATTTATGTATGGAATTAATTTTATCAATTTTTGGTCGTATATTTTTATAAATCTGTTTGGTACGAGCTGTATATGTAGAAATTGCAATAATATTTGATATAACAATCTTAGTTTTTAGTTATGGTACTCTGTTTCTCTTACAATTTTTCTTTCTTCTTTCTAAATCAAACCAAGCCTCCATTAATTTTATTTTAAATGCAAACACACGGAGCTCGAGAAAAAGTGTACTTGAAGAAAAGACTTAATATAATATTGAGTATATATTGCTAACTATTATTTATGTTAAAATTTGTCGCTATTATTTCTTTTCATTTTATATTCTGCAACCTTATCATCAATCAGTGATTAATAGATGCAGGAAGCAAAAGAATATGGCAATTTAAAATCAATTACTATTTGTGAAAATTATATATTGTGTGCATATAGGTATCATATTCTTCTTCTCTTAAGATTTCTTGTTCAATGCAAATGCCCTAAAATGCTTACGATGTGACTCTCGTATTAATTTTACTTGAGCATCATGGGCATGGGCAATAAATTTGTGCAAACGATAACCTTATTCAAAATTTGTCCCATCGTTATTTGTCATCAGTCGGTGATGTTGTTATTACTGTCGGTATAAAACCATACGGAGGTGTACATTCTCTCGTGCTGTTATTTTCACTTTTGCTAGAGGCTCCATTTCCTCTTCGCGTCGATTTAGATCCACTGAATTTTATAATAAATTTCAATTCGTTCATCAATTCCTCTTTGAATGGCACCTACACACACAAAATAATTTATCATATATATGATAAATAAATATACAGATAGATACATATAGAAATATGTTGAGAATTAACTTTTACATTTATTATTTAATTGTTCTTAATTTCTAATCTATAAAACTTTTAAATCGCAAATTATAATCTAGATAAGAAGTTATTGAATTGATAAATTTAAGATTATAGTGTATCAATGTTATATGTATGTCAATTTAATTTCAATCTCGATCTAAACTCAAATTAATTTTGATTATCGCAATTCTATGTTATGCTAAATTAGTAAAAGTGTGTTAATATTTTTGCAAAATTGTTGCGTGTTTTAAGAAAAACGATATGAATTGTGTACATTATAAATAAGAATAGTTCGCTTACATTTTCTCGAATGGACGTTTGGGCAACATCCCAAAGTAACTCGAAAATGGTGTACACAAACGATAAAACGACTCCAATACTTAGAACGAAAAATACGCCTCCTACGTGAGGAACACCGAGTTCCTCTGCTGAATTACTTCCACCATCCTCCTACACAGCGACGCATATTGAGCAAATGAAGACAACGTGATGTGCAATGCGCATTTTATAATATAAAAATTTTATAATTGATCTGCCACTCTCACCTTACATTTGCCGCCGCCCCGTTTTTCTTCCCACCACTTTTTTTTAAGTTCCGATATAGATCCGCTTTCTGAGAGTTTTAAAATTGCAGAGTTGAAGTTGGATCGATATGGTGAATCTGTAACATTTTATATGATAAAGCGATTGTTTGCTAAATAAAATAATGGCAGAAATAGAATGACAGTTTCAAGTTTTTTAATCGTAAAACAGAATTCAGTTGTATCAACAAGAATAATTTTGTGCATTTTACAGTATATAAATATTATAGAATTGTATAACGTTTTTAAAAGAGATAAGCAATCTTTTTTTTTTTATCAAAAAGTGGAATAACTTGCTGAATTTAAAATTGAAGTTCGTGGTGTCAGATTTGCTATTGAACCATTTGTATGAATCATAGTTTTTAATTTTTTTTGAATTATTTTTTATAGTATTTTTTATTCCATAATTAGATAACATATTTCTATTAATACAATTTAAATCCATCTTTTGGTTTTCTTCCAAATCATCTTCTGATTTTTAATTTCGCGTATCAACTAGTAAAATATTTTTAACCGATGGTACAATATGATATATTATTGCAAATAATAGTTTTTTATCAAAGTTTTATTTTTCTTTTAGATAATTTCAATGATTTCAGAGTTTGTCAAATATTATTAAGATAACATATAAAAAAAAGTATTTAAAATGATGAGAAAGAATAATATGCAATATTTGACTATATTATTACTACATGAAGTTGCGGATATTACATATACAATGTATTTTGATAGTGCTTACATACTTTTCTTCATAGCAATGCCATAGCCCTTCTCGTCAAGGAGCCCACCGACTTGGGATACTGTGCATTCACGTTCTACTATGTATCTTAATGTATTTTGACATACTTTTCTTCATAGCAATGCCATAGCCCTTCTCGTCAAGGAGCCCACCGACTTGGGATACTGTGCATTCACGTTCTTCACGTTCT